CGTTTATGGTGGGATGGCCCAGCTGACGACGGCCCTCCGCTTTCCCCTTTCCTCTGTCTTCCTCTGGCCCAATGGAGAGTGGCGAAAAAGGGCGTTAAATGCGCTAAGCAAGTTTAAGCCGTAATAATAAAAAGTAGCGCACAAGAAAATAAATAAATAAAAGACATACCATCAGCACGCATTACGTACACAATTTACTTTATTGCATAAACTGATTATAGTTTTAATGCCTCGCAGCCGAGATCGGAAGGACTGAGACTGCGGATGGCGAGACGTTCGACATTCAGGCTGCCGGGCAGGAAAACTTTAATATCCTGACGTTATTATCATTATTAAACTGTGAATGGCATAATAAACGAACAGGGTAACCGCACCGCGTCGTGCGCAGCGCGAATTTCAAGTTGCCTCAAGTACCGTGGAACGAAGGTGACAAAAGGTGGACAATTTTTCTAAAGATTTATGGCTAAGAAGCGGTCAGGAGAAACAAAATTTATTTTATTATAAAATGTAAAATAAGTTAAGATTAAAGGTTTATTAAAGATCTAACAAATTTTCATTAATACTTTTTTTTAATAAGCCTTTATGTGGTAACTTATTTGAAAAGTACCTTTCACTGCCAAGTACTTGGAAGTTCTAAGTTAGAACCCATTTAAATCAATTAGTATAGATCTCTAACTTTCCACTGTGCTTTAAATGTCGATGGAAATGTTCTGTTTACCGTCAACATCCGGCTAAAGTGCAGCACCACTCCCGGGGGCAAAGACAATGGGCCCTCTTATCGATGTGCGGCTTGAAGTTATGGGCGCGTAATAATCTATTGAGATGCGTTTTATTGCGCATACGCCCTGTACGCCTCGAATGCCTCAAACGCCCTGAATGCCAGCCAGAGCTGTTGGCTGCGAAGCCATAAGCACTTCCCCAGCCCGGGGCTGCACTTAACGGCCAGCACGAGCCACCGGAGTCACTTCGATTGCATTAAGAGCCCCTCTGGCTTTCACTTAATGGCGAAAAGATTTCCGGTGGTCGGGTAGTCCGATGGGGTGGATGATTTGGGGGAAGACTGGGAGGGGAAACTGTTGCTAATTTCGTATTGCCCGCTTGCTGGTCATGGGATTATAAAGTCTGAGCTGACAGGGCCGTTGACAACTTTCGGCCACAATTTCCTTCGGCATTGATTTCACTCTGCAGCTCATTTCGTTCGGTCAACATGTTGGACGGTCACTAATTAGTCGTTAATGATGCATTTCCCCAGATTGCATGTCTCGATTATTTCGTTTCACTTCGTTTGACTTGGGTTTCCCGCACAGACACGCACATACCCTCCATTCCGTACCGTTCTGAGTTAATCTTGTATCTGAAATCCCGGCAGACACGCAATATTGAAGCCCTGCGGAAAGTCAAAAGCAAACGGCGGATAAAAAATCTTCTTACTCACGCCGTGAGTTGGAGCTTTACGATTTTCCCGCTTCCCGTCCGTGATTCCTTTATCCTTGTTTACCTGTAAGCAGATAAAGGCAGGAGACAGCCACGGGATGAGGACTAAAAATTTGTACTTGGCATTTCAATTTGCTTTGCATATAATTATTATTATATTACGCATACGCCCGGTTGCCGCACACATGACGCGTCTTCGAGGAATTAGTCTGTTGTAAATGATACTGCTTTCATAGCTTGAGAACCGGATTTCCGTGTAAGTAAACGGTGAACAAAAAATTCGCATAAATCCTGGAAAAATATTTGCATTACTCAGCATTGCCTTCTCGTTCGCCCCGCAGCATTTAAACCGCTTCGCCCTCTGCCATTTGTGGCCATTAATTTGCATTCATGAAATATGGCACGATTCTGATTTAATTTCCAACCGAAAATATCTGCAACCATCCAGCCGTGGCCCAGACAGTTTTCTTAGAATTTCCGACAGTCTTCGGTTTTCATTGTTTTAACACATAAGCTGATTAAAGGACGTTCGAGTGCCTGTCGTTCGAATGCCAGGGGCTTTAAATTTAAAAATATATATATTACGGGAAATATGCATAAAATTGCGATAAGTTTTTAACGCATCAGTTGTGATTATTTTCCCGATTCCCGGCTGACCGAGAAAATTGACATCTGGACTTGGCTGTCATTAATTTGCTTCGTTAATGTGAAAGCAAACAATGCGAAAATGGCATCGGTGGTCATTATTTTACATTGTAATTAAATTTATGCCATCACGCCACGACCCGCCACTCCACTCTACACACAAGTGTTCTCGATAATGCTTATGCCGGGCTCAATTTGTTGTTACATAATTACAAGAAATAACACCGCGGGACATCAAAAGTGTAAACAAAGCACTTTAATGCGTTGCGCTTCAATTAAATCATTAAGGGATGTCCCGAAAAAAAAAAAAAGAATATGTTGCTTTCATAAAGTCAAAGGCATTAGCATTTAAATCTTTTGGGCTAATTAATTAAAGTCCTGTGTGATGCACCTTTTACAGGATACCATCAACCTGCTTGTCTGTCATTCAGTTGAAAAGTTTTCTCACTTCCGGCTACTTCTCATTTAGAAATTGAAATCGAGTCGTATCTTGACGCCAATCTATGCATCCGCATCCGTGAAACTCATTTCGGTGCTCACTGAGCACTGAGCTAATTGATTACAACAAATTCAATGGATGTTTAATTCAATTAAAATTTTGATTTTATCAGAACCTTGTTCACTGGCATATGTTTCTGCCCAAGGGCCCTGGCTGTGGGCTTTAAATCGGAAATTTAAGCAAAATATTCCAGTACCGGCTGTGCAATTAGCCCACCTAGTTAATAAGGTACGTGCTTGATTAAAATTTGTGTGTGACTAACACATTAATTAAAGTTTCATGAGAGCAGACAACAAAAAGAGAAAAGAACTGGACAGAAGACAAAACTGGGCGACTATTTAAATATTTATTTCAGTCATTTGTGTTGAGGCGAGGTGCCCCCTTCAGCGACAGAAATTACCTTTCGCTCACACAAATTGCATTTGCGTGTCAGCCGCAGTGCGCCAAAAAGGGGGACAAGTGGGCGGCTCCAGGAGAGGGGGCGTGGCCCTCCTTAAGGGTGTATCTGTACAAGTGTGTGTGTGTGTGTGTGCTTGGGCTGGAACATGCGAAGCGTGCGTAAGTCGGCAACATGTAAACGCGTATTAATTAAGGCAAAACAAAGCGTCGCCGCTCAAGACAACGCAGTTACAGACCAAGACGACAAGGACATGCAAAAGGAGTGGCAAACGGGCGGCGACAGAAGCAGTTGCTGGGGCGAGGGTCCAAGCTGGAGCAAAAGGAGGTTCAAAGGATGGGAAGTCAAGAGCTCGTTCTCAGCCATTTTCCCCTGTCAAGGCCTCGATGTGTCCGTGTCTGGGGTGGTAAGGCAGAGAGGCAGGAGGAAATGGAAATGTCCTTATAATATGCCAGACGTGGTACATTTAATTTCTTTTTTGTGAGAGCCAACTTCTTTGACTGATTCTTTTGATTTCATTTATACATTTTAATTACACAACCAGTTCACATCTCTTAATTTAACGGGCGTTATATTTAAAGAGTCCCTTAATGAAGGGCGTTCTCAAGTGGTGGGGGTTCTATACTCCTCTGGCCACTTCACTCCTCTCGCCACTCTGCTCCACGGACCCCTGGCAAAGCACCTGGACAGGTGAATAGCACTCAAAGTTGTCGTGTGGCTGGCAGCCGCACTTTTCCGGCATTGTCACAGCTGTCAGCAGCAGTCGGTCCGAGCTGCCGCAAATGTCAATCCCTGCTTTAAATGCTGACGGAATGAGTGGAGCAGCGTATAGATTTGCATGAGCTTGAAACCAATTAAGGTAAAATCCACGTGCACTGCAAACCCAAATTGCAAAGATGACACTTTGTGAACTCATTTTTAACATGTTTATAACCAGTACTTGGAGACTAAATACTCAAAATATCTCTGAGAAACGTCAGAGATGTATCTACTGATATAATGCATTTTATATACATACATAGTTAACTAATCTATAGCCTTAAATATCTGCTAACTTAACTTTATGTTAATATACGATATATATTTTTTTGACAAGTGCAAAAGGGAGTGTCGAAATAGGCAGTTGTGGTTTTTCGAATTGAATTTTCGTGACCACTTTAATTGGAATTCGTGTTAATTTCAACGGGGAAACTTGGCTTAACAACCACTTGAGGCGGCCAACTGCCACTTCATCGGTCATTATGGCCGGCCATAAACAAATCAACAAACAAAGTGGCCCGCCACCTACCACCTGCCTCAAGCCGCATGCCACCTGGCAATAGAAAAGCCAGTGGCCACGTCACCACTCAGCACACCCACTTTTCGCACAAATTGCACACGAAATCTTGAGAGTCTCAGGAAAAGGAAGTCGAGCCGAAGAATCCGAAGGGAAACAAAAGAAAGCAGGAAAAGAAAAATCATTCATTATCATGTCACGTCAATCGAAAAACAATCTAATGACTGCACATGATTTCTATCTCAAATACTAGAAGGACCAAATACTAGGAAGGACCAGCCTGCCAAAGGGGCAAAAACAAGCCGGAAAATCACTCCGCCGCCCCCACACATGGCAGCAATTTCACATGGAAGTGGTTGAAAAGTTTGCGGCGAAACGTTTATTATGCATTAGCTATGCTTAAACGGTTAAATCAACTGTAAATCCCTCCTCCCCCCCCCACAACAAGGTCAGTCTGGGGGGCCGATGGGCGGTCAACTGCACAAGTCAAGTGTGAACTGTGTGTGGGTCGATGAGTGTGATTTGATAAATCACTACGATACCACTATTCGAGTAGGTTCGTGTGTAGGCAGTTGTTTATCGAAAACTAAGATGCCGTGGTGCGTAGGCTTTTCCAGTTGATTTCGACTTGGGAGTGAGGAGTAGTGAGTTTCAGTTTACTTTGGACCAAGTTTATTTCAGTTTTGGTTGCCTTAGCAGCGGAGTGGCTTTAGTTTAACGAACAACTCTTCTAGAAATTAAAGTCTAGACACATTCGAGAGACAGAAAAGTTTGTCTTGCTATAAAATTCACTTCAGTAGACATATTTGTATTCTATATATTTGATTAAAATGAGCATGTAAGTGAATAGATCCAAGAACCTTTTAATCTTAAGGTGGGCCATTAATACTCATTCACGGATGGAACCACAATTAAAGTCTGAATTTTTAAAACTAGCTACTCTTTGTTATCAATTCTAATTTTTAGATCCGGGGCAGACAATAATGTGTTTGTGTACCAGTATCCCCTGCTACCGCCGCCCCTCATCAAGTACAATTTAATCTACCATCTGGCCTGCACACGATCCCAGGATGTGAGCTTGCCACAGGTGGTGGAGGTGGACCCTCTCAAGAAAGCGAGTCAGCCTAGCGTGCCGGATCGCGGGAAGAAACCTGCGAGCCGCCTGACTTACCACACTCCCTACTCCGCCAGCTCCACTGAATCGGAAGTAGAACCAGAGCTGGAGGAGCAGAAGTACCGTTGGAACTCGCCACGCCTGATGATCCTCTGCGAGGATGGAGACATCAACTGTGCGCTCTACTACCTCTTAGAGTCACTACACGATCCCTTTGCCGCCAACTCGGTAGCCGTTCTCTTCTTGCAGGAATCATTACTAAGTGAGTTCATTGACCGACTGGAGGACCGGCTTGAGCCCCTTAACGAGCAGATCACCAGCCATCCGGCTTTCATTCACACACTAGAGCGACTGAAGGAGCTACAGCCCAAGGTGATAATGGGAAATCCCCGGTCGGTCCCCGCAGATGCCAGTCCCAGGTTCGTCTTCGACCTGAACCAACGATTCCTGGGCGAGGGACCCACCGGAGTGATCACCCTGCACACTTTTCGGACGATGAAAGAGGCCATCGAGTTGCAGGCAAAGGAGCAGGTGCCCTTCACATCGGTGAGCATCTGGAACGAGAAGCTGGGAGCTGCCTATGAGCTGGTGGCAAGGCTGAAGCCCCAGATATTTTTGCTGAACTGCTTTTACGTGAACCTGGATCCGATTGGGCTCCCCTTTGCCTGTCGCGTTAGCACCTCCAAGATCTCGGATGGCTACCACTACGAGTCCTTGACCTTCAAGGAGAAATGGAAGGTGGTCGTCCACCCTATTGGAACTATCTGGGGAAAAATAGCTTGGGACGCGGAACGCAACTTCTGACCTGGCCCCCAACTATATTAGCAATTCAAAGCTCCAAGCTCCAATTCAAAGTCGCTGCCAATTCAAATTATTAGTCAATGATCTGGGTGGCTGCTAATTGAGTTTTCGCAGGGGCAACTCAATTTGCAATTTAATTGCCAAAATAAGACGGCCCATCCCCCGGAGTCTTGGCCTATAATTTTCCGGGGAAACTCAAGACCTCTCTCCGTGCGAATAATCAATGGAAATTGTGGGCGGCGTTCTGTGTCGCTTTGTATTCTGAAATTAAAAATTCCTTTGGCGGAGTAATTCACCTAACGTGCCAATAATTTCAAAAATTTTCCTTGCCTCTCATCCTGCCACCGGAGCGGAGGCACAAAGGCAACAAAGAAGGTTCGTGCTGGCAACAAAATGTTGAGTCTGCCAGGCAGATGGGTGGAGGCTCGTGGGTGGTTTCAGGTGGAATTCTGAAAATGCCATAATTACTCTACTTGCTGCCTACTAGCAGATGGACGTGGAAGTGGGTTGTTGGTAGTGGGAAGGCGGTCATATTAGTGGCACATTTCGGCTTGTTGGTTGGCCAAATAATACGAGAATGGCTCTTGAATGAAGGGCGGGGATCGTGGGGATTGTAACTTTATAATGTACTTCCGTTTGCTTTCATTCACATGGCGGCGGAATATCAAAATATTTGACATTTGCATAAATAACAGGCGCAGCAACGGAGATCTCCGGCCAGTTGAAAGGCAAATAAGCTCGGTTCTTTACTGGCACGTCCCTCCCTGTCCTCCGTTCTACCGGCCCGACACGCCCACATATCATGCCTGGAATTGGGCAAATTTTAAAAAGCACCACATGCCACCACCGAGTAGATGGGAAACGGGAGAAATATGCAACGCGGGTAGCGAAAACAAAACCGTGGAATTTTTGCCCACCAGCCGGTGTCCGGAGATCGGAGTGGGGATTGGGGAATGGGGAGTTCGGAGTGTGGGTCCGATGGCTAAGGGCAAATAAGATTTGCGTGGAATCCGGCTGTATTTCGGCCAGGAACGAAGGGCGGCCGACTGTTGTGGTAGCATGCCTGAAAAGCACGACGGGCTCACTAAATAAACAAATTCATAAACAAACAAGAGCCCAGAATGAGGGAGTTTGCTTAGAGCCAGTTTTGATACCCTGATAAAGAGATTTGACGTAAAAGAATCATTGAATGTAAGGGCAAAAAAGTTAAGAGGAGTTCATGCACTTTTTTTTTACTTAAAACTAAGTATTAAATACCCAATTCTCCAAAACATTGTATAATAGTCTATAACTTTTATCAAGCACATTATACAAAGTTCACAAAAAAAGTTTAAATAAAAAATATATAAGGAAAGTGTAAGGAATATAAAATATATGAAAGATGTTGATTAAATAATACTATCCTTAGAGCATTTGTATGTATGTGTATGCATTTTTACACAATCTGTCTGAATAATAAATTGCATTCTAAACGTACGTGCTAATTGTATTAAAATATGCATTAGAAATGAGTTTTTTTTGTATCACATAGTAAAATCAAATTAATATGGCCAACATATAAGTTAGCAGTTACCTCAAGTAAGAGCATATCACACCACAAAAAAATGTATATATGGAAAAAGAAAAACAAGGAGGAAAAACCCCAGAGCGAAATGAAGTTTATTTATCCAGCGAATGGGCAAAAATTAGACGCGGCTGCATGCAAATTGGCAATTAGGAAATCCTTTATTTTATGAATTTTTCGCCAGAGTGCCGATTTCATTTTCTTCATGTTGGCTCGTTGGCTGCCTCGCCGGCTGGTTTGGGTTTCAAATGCAAATAAATGATTCCACATCCACATCAACATCTAACACAGACCGGGCTCGACTGCCACTTCCATCACACGGCGTTGAAGCCCCATTTAGGGCTTTTATTTGGATGTGTATGGGCTTCGAGTGGGTGGATGGGATAAGGGGTTTCATTTTTCACGCTTTTATTTGGCATTTTATTTTGGTAACGTATTTAATTTCATTGCAGGTTCTTGCCCGGGGTAATATCCACCGTATGAATGGAAATGAATTTTCCTGGCTGGGCAGAAGCTTGGCTGGGGCTGGGCTGAGAAAGGATAACTTGTTAAAGTTTTAAAGGCAAGCCATATGCAAACGGCTCTAATTAAGTGTTATAAGAGAGAATCGAATAGGATTTTTATGGCAAAGATACCACCTTAAATTCTGTAACCAGAGACTTAATGAGTTCCTAAGAGGTTCGATTCGCTTCTTCGTTCAAATATCGAAATATACTCCGCACGTATGTTTTTATTTCCCTCCATTTTTATTCCTGCGAGTATCTCACTGCAAAGCAATAACTGACTGGCCAGAATGAAAAGCGGATATCTCTCGAAAAATAAATCCACAAGCGATAAATTCTGGCGTGCGGAAAACTCTTGGCGTTGGCTTGGGAAACGCTTACTTGACTTCAATTCCATTCGGCTTGGCGTGGGAAATTGCAAAGGTGAGGGTCGGGAAAAAAATTCAACTGAAAATCTGGGCAAACAACGAAAAACCAAAACAGAACCAACGAGGAGCACAGTGAAAATCTTAGTTGAGTTGAAAGATTACATCCTGTTTGGAAGGGATGTGGAACGGAAACCCTAACTAAAAGTCAATTCCCAAATCAGGACTGCCAAATAACTGGGAAAGTAGCTTATTTCAATCGAACATTGGGCGGGCCGGTCCGTCTGGACGATTTGGGTTTTTGTTAAATTGTTAAAATCCTTTTATTTTAACGACTTTAAACTTTGTCATTGTCTATTTGGATCGTTTTCGTCACGAATTGCTCCCTTTTTGGCCCGTTTGTTTGGCATTGTTTCATGCAAGTTTGATTTTCAAATCAACTGCAGGTTGCCTCTACCTTAATCCTGTCCGTTGTCCCCTTGGTCCTTGTGCTCCTGTCCCCTGTTCCCACTTAGTTTTTGTTGCTGTTGCCCCATTCAGTTGTCAAAATAAAAACCTGGCAACCTGTTGCCACGGAGGATTACTCGTGCGTTGAATGCTTCCCTACCAAGGACCTCCCTCTTCCTGCCCCATGCCATGCCCATAGTGAAGGAAAAGTTTTCGCTTTGATATTTGATTTCAGTACTGGCCTGCAATGGCTGGAGCCACCGAAACGGAAAAAGGTTCAAATTACCGCGAGTTTTTAGTCGGTTTCGTTTTCGGTCCCGTACATTTCGTCCTTCTGTTGTGATTTCTCCTTTTTTTGTTGCCTAGTGTGGTGAGCACTTTACTCTTCGGATTTGACTTTTATGCCATGCTAGTATAAGTTTTGGCCCACTCACGAGATTCAAGGTTTTAAGGCTATTCTGCGGGTTAACAATCAATGAAGGCTTTGCGTGGGTGATTTTTTAAAAATTCTCTAGAGAAACTAAACTAACAAAGTGAATTTTAAATTTACGTTAAATAAATAAAAGGCTTAAAACTTTAAAAATACTTTAAAGTTATTGGCCACAGACAAGATAGAATAATGTAATTGAAAAAAAATTTAAAACAAGAAGAAATTCAAAATTACATAAAAGTGGGTCATGTGTTAAAAAAACCTGAAGCTTTAATACATTTTTCCTTTGCAGAATCGCTTTTATTTCTTAGCAAAAACTCTACTAATGCATTTCTTTTTAAATGCCTTCAGTATTTTCTTTTAAGCGCTTTGAACTCTTCGACCTGCCTTAAATATCGATTTAATTAATTTGAAAACCGCTTGTGCTGATTAAATATTAACAGAGCTGACGTATTTACGTTGAATGTCGAGTATGTCGAGTGTGCCGAGGGTATCGAGGCCCTTTGGCGGGGCTCCGGTGGTTCTGGTTGGGTACAGAATATCGTATGACAGCCATTAGGAATATTGATTTCCATATCGCAACATTAACCGTCGTCAGAAGGCAACAAAAAGTCGCATTCCATAGCTGCAAAAAAAAAGGAAGCTCAGACAGGACCTGCACACACACACTCTCGCGTCTAAATACGCTGACGTAATGTGAAAATTATGCGTTGTAATTTGCGCCAGAAGAAGGAAACGGAAAAGCGGAAGACGACGCACTCAAACAAAAAGAGGGGGCGGGGCCAGGGCGGAAGAAATGGAAGAGGAACGAAAACAAACTCAAAAAAAACACGCAGGATATGTATATCAAAGACGAAGATATAGGCGGACGAACAGACGCATTTACATATGCTTCACAGGGTCGGTGTGTGTGTGTCGGTATGCAGATGTGGACATGAAAAATTGGAACACTTTAACAGTCAAAGCAGATTCACAGTTCCTATCTACCATTTCCCCAGGTTTTTTTTCTTCGCACCACCCCAATCCCTTGTTGCTTTAGGTCTTGTTGTTTTTTGGCACTTTTTCACCATCGCCCTCTTCATCACAGTTTTTTTATTTGGTCGCAGCTCGAAAGGAAGTTGTAAAAATAAAACATAGCACGTTTGCAAGTCCCAAAACAGAAAAAAGCCCTAGAGGATTTCCAACAGGGGTTCCGACATAACGATACCCGGTACTTGTACAAGGTAAGTTGGTCTCAAAAAAATAGTCCAACTATGACAACCTACTAGTTTTATCAAATCAAATTTATAAGAAAAATAATTTTAATGTATTATTTTTTCTCTGGAAGGGAATCTTTTAGCTAAGGAACATCACTTCCTGTTTCCTGCTTCCCGTAAAACAAACATCCATGTAGGGACAGTGGGTGGATGGAACATGGAAGGAGGGAGGCGGAGGCCCGGAGGCGAAGAAAAATAACTACATGAAAATTTGTGGTCGCTGAAGAATGTGGCAGGCGAATACCGCCCGCTGCCATGGGAGAAGCTCAAATTTGCGGGCACTAAACGTGGCATGTGGCGAACTCAGCATCTCGGCATTAGAGCCATCGCAATTGGAGGCACCAACCTGCGTGTGTAAATGCTACGAAATAAATTTGTGTCGCCTTGCAACGTTGGCAAAAAAAGAAATGGAAATAAAAGTGTGTAACAACGCCAGAAACAAGCAGATGACGGGGCAGAAGCAAAGCCTC